CATACTAACTATTAAGAAACTATATAAGAAAAAATTGAAAAAAACACAACTAACAAACATAAATAAACTCTAAATTGTTCAACTAATAAGATTTAATAAGAAAAAAATTATTAATTTGTTTAGAAAAAATAAAAAAAATTAATATATCCAACATTAAAAAAAAAAATTCGGTTCTTATTCGATTTTTCGGTTTTTGGTCTAGAATCGAGAACCGAACTAAACCAAACCATTCGATTCTCGATTCGAACATTTTGCCCAACCCTAGTGAATATGTCTTACTAAAATTTGAATATTATGAATTCAAATATGTAGGGAATGATTTTTGAGTTTGGACTGCTCACTATCGGGGGAAAAATTTATGACATTCCTTCTTCATGTAGATTTCCGATAGCAAGAGTAAAACAAGCCGATAAAGATGCAGATCTTCGTGAAAACATTAACTGGAAAGACCATTACTCCCGAGGTCGAGAGCAACGATACTATCGACAATTTCGAGTTTGAAGTCTGTAGTAACTAGAGTCTTGGAGTGGTGCTCTTAGAGTAATCTGGAAGAGGATAATATTATTGGTAGTGTGGTACAAAGGATGATGATTTCATCAAAAAATTTACAACTGAGCAAAATTATAATTAGTGAAAACTTTAAGACATCAAATTTGTGGAATTATGTGTCTTTGAGTGAGGGAAGAAAGCTGCATTTCTCTTTTTGTGAGGGAGCTCGATATTAGTGAAAGTAGCAGATAGAAATATTCATTCTTATTATTCACTTGTATTTGTTTCTGTTATTGCAATAGTTACTTTCCTGCTGGTGCTTTTGTTCTATTTCAGATGCACTAAATTCTTGAAATACTACATGTGTTTCTCTTCTTTTCTGTTCAATTTCACTTTTTTTGGTGTTTTGATTGTGTTCATGTCGAAAATGGCAACATTTTTTATGCAAGCTTACTTAATTGTTATTGGAATGCTGATTGCTTATTGGTTTACACTTTTACCAGAATGGACCACTTGGGTGCTTTTGATTGCCATGGCATTGTATGATTTGCGGCTGTTTTGTTGCCCGATGGGGGTTTTGAGGCTCTGGTAGATATTTATCAGTTGGAAGTGATGAGAACAGGGTTCATTTGGAAAAAAAATATTTCAAGATTCATCAATTTCAAAATTTATATATTATTAACATCAAACTATAAAAACTTATTGAATAATTAGATTTCTTGTATAAAATATTATTAAAAAAATTCTCAAAATTTTAAAGTAAACGCGTTTTCCATTTTTATGTTTTCAGAAACAGTTTTTCAAAATGACAAAAAGAACGCATTTTCAGAAATTTCAAAACAGACACTCAAAACACAAAACACAAAATGAATTCAAAACACAAAACACAAAACTGAAACACAAAGAGAACGGCCCCTAATATTTCGGATTTTCAGT